TTGATTGTAAATCACAGGACACAGGGAGTTAAATTATTTAACCACTGGGTTTTGCAGCTACCTTCAATTGATTGGACACTGACAAATCAATTAAAGCTGCAGGATGACCCTACATAACCTCATCCATCCCCAGCCTGCCTGAGCTTTTGCTGGTGTCCTTGGATGATGGACACCTTCTCTTAGAGAAGTACTCTCTTTTGCTCATTTTCTTCTATGATCATTTGTTGCATAACTCTAGCAAGTTCCCTTAATGCTGCTCAGCACCTCCAGCAGCTATCTGGATTGTTGTTTTTCCCCAATACAGAGCTGTGGAAGACCGTACCAAGGCTCTGCCAGAAAGAAAATGGAGCTGGCCTGTAATGTACACCGCTACTGGCACTTTGTAGAACGTGTGTGGGTAACCGCAAGGTGCTTTACAGGTCCAGGGCCGTGGTCCATCTCAGAGGAGCCCCTGACCCTGAAGACCCCCCCCCCCCCAAGGGGGTATGCCACACCCAAAGAATGAAGATCGGATGACAAAACCTACCAAAACTGGCCAAAACCTCTTCAGGTATGCCGGAGTCAGTGGTTGTTTGGCTTTAAGAAATTTAATTTTGCACCAGTGGTTGTTTCCCTTGAGGCCTAGGGGCAATGGAACATGCCTGGTGCTTTCTTCCTGGGTACCATATTGCACATGCATCCGCCATTTTTTTTCCTGACACACACTCTGGCTGAGTACAGGGACAGCTTCCTGCTGCGACTCTGCACAGACACAGAAGTAATAAGCTTTACCGCTACACCACTGCGCTGTGCTCAAGCCAGGGTCACCTTCTGCCTGCAGTGTCTGGACACTGTGCACCCTCTCACCACTCGTTGTGAGTTTTGGGGTGGAGGGCTCAGTGGCCGCATAACCTGCTCACAATTTTGGTGAGAGTTCTGCCCCCTCTGTGGACATTATTTCTGTTAGTCACATGCAGCGCTCCCTATCCCCTTTGGTGCTAGCATCAGGATCCTCATCTGTTGCCTCTAGAGCACCCTCCTCTAACTTAATATCTAGAGAGGAGTTCACCCCCGTCATGGCAGATTTTTTTGGGAAGATGGCTGATGTTCTTGATAAATTTCGCACTAGGGGCCGCAAGTGGGTTCCCTCTCCTGCTCCCACAGAGACCCCCTCTGACCCTCCTTTGCATGACGTCACACTATCTAAGGAGGAGAGAGAGAAAAGGGAACTGTTTCTAGTTCTCAGAAGTCATTTTACAAAGAGGACCTGTCTCCTGACATTTCTCCTAATATCAAGGACACTATTTCTGTTCTTGTGGATGCAGTTTGCACAAGATTGCAGCTAGAGTCACTTGTGTGGACACTTCCAAAGGTCACAATTTTGGAGTGCTTGAAAATGCTTAAAACTGCTAAAACCTTTCCTTTTCACTTACTCTTATAGCTTGTATTTAATGCTGACTGGGATCACTCTGTAAAGTTGTTCTCTACCCCTAAACGGTTTCACCAGAAATACCCTATTTAGGACAGCTTCCTTAAGTGCAGTTCCTACCATGGTCCCAACCATCTCTTTTATGAACAATATCCTTACAGTCTCTGTAGAGAATGCACCTGTTTTCAAGGACCACACAGACAAGATGTTGGAAGCCTTCTTTAAGGCCTTGTTTGCCCCTGGAGGTCCAGCTATGTAACTTGCAGTTGTCTATATGGAGGTATGTCAGACCTTGTCTGTACGGTCCAAGGCTATGGCTAGGAACCCTGGGTCTATCTCGGCTGACCCAGAAATTCCTAAACAACCAGAGTTTTCCCTGCTACCCTACTCTACTGTGTGGATGGCTTGGCATATACCCTCCTCTAGATCTTCAGAATGAGCTTTCTGTCTGTTCACACTCAGCAGATCCTTTGGCTTTTGTGCTTATCTTCGGAACTTCCCTGCAAGAAGTGCATAGAGTGCATGCTCTTCACTGTAGGCCATCTTTTTGGTGAATCCTTGGATACTAAAATCAAGTGAGTCACTGGGGCGGGGAGGGGGAAGTACCTACTTGCCTCAGAAGAAGTCCAAGACTCCGTTAGAAAAGTCTTCTGCTCCCTCCCTTCACAGGTACAGGTTCCAAGCAGGGCACATAATTCTGTCGCAAGGACTAGTCCTCCAATTTCAGGAGCAAGCTCTCTTCACAATGATCGGCATCTCCGCATTTACAAGTTGGGGAGTTGGGTAAGGACATTCTCAACCCTTGGGTTTGGAGTTTCGTAACCATTGCCTACTAAATGGAGTTCCACTCCCTGCCTTATCTTTCTTGTCATCCAATCTGCCTAAATCTCCTCAAGGGCAGTCAGATCTCTCTGCTGCCTGATCATTCAGATCTACTATCACAAGGTCTGATATCCCGCCCTGCTTCTCGGTCACTGGTTTTAACAGCATGGCTGTTGAAACCTGGGTCTTGAGGGACAGATAACTTTCAGACATTATCATTTCTATTCTCCTTAAAGGATTTCTAAATCCTCTGTTTTTTTGCCTATATCTACTGCTAGCAAGCTTTAACAGCGGTTTAAACTTACCCTGTTTCCGCCACGTGCTCCCGCCCGAGGATCCGAAACTGCCTGGGCGGCCGCAAAGCATCTTGGGGCGGGCGCATTTGCAGTTCGGATTTTCAGCCGGGAGACGAGCAGAGACGCAAGGTAAGTCTATGAATGCGTGCACCCACATGCAGACACCGTGGGATCAGAAGTGCCAGCAAGCAGAGAGGAATCAGCGCTGGATCGGAGACCCGCCGCACCTCTGGAGGGACAGATGAAAACATCAGGAAAGAAGAAGAAGATCGGATTAAGAAACCTCATTTAAGGTAAGTGCTAACATTAACATTGGGGTGAGGGAAACTTTTTTTGACTTTAATGTCACTTTAAATTCTTAATGAACGTCTTTTATCACAACTTTTATTATGGATCCTTTACATCATACTTTTATGGTAAACCTTCTAGTCATAGGTCAACTCCTTTTAAGGCTGTAGGGTAATGGATCTCCACTCCCCGAACTCTAGAGTTGTGTAGAATATGATTTTTATATCATACCCTTATCAACTTGAAGAAATAGGGTGGAAAAAGTTCAAAAGGGAAAATTGCTTCTGTTCTTGCATAAAAATCAAAAATATGTTTCATTACAAAATTACAAATATTACAAGATAAATGACATGAAACAAAATATAAGATAGTTATGTAAATGTATAGGCATGTTCTTACAAAAGTGTCTGCGTGTAAGTGACCGGAATGTGAAAATAGGTCCCTTTTTCCTTTTCTGAGAATGTACTGGCCATCTGCCATGAATAGACCCTTATTCACAATTTAAAACATGACAGGCTCTGGGACCTGTGGTGCCTCACATCTGAAATCTGAAACTCTTAAGACCACTAGTAGGAGAGAGAGGGGGATGGGGGGAGGAGTGCCCCCACCTTCCTGCTAACTTTAGCTATAAGTTAAATGCATCCATAACTATCATTTAAACCAAATGATGTTACATATACCAATATAGTTATACTGTAGTGTACATAATACAATGTTCTTTCTCATATTATTGCCCTAATCAAGAAATAGTATAGTCGAAAGATATAATTCATAGTTTGTAAACACTTCATAAACTTTGATTTAGAATATTCTGCATTTGCTGTCATTTTTTTCTTTCCATGTTGTTGGATCTCTCAATAGTTTCTATCCAACCCTCAGATGAGCTACCTTTGGACGTCCATATTGTCTATGGTTTTCTGTTATGTCTTTGAGAAAGAAAATAATATTTGTGTACTTACAGTAAAAATATTTTTCTTAGAGTCCTTTCAGGGACACCGGTCGCGCCTCTTTGAGTTTTTGGCTTTATGTAATGCTTGCTCACAAAACTGGTTGGAAGCATTAATATACTACACAGTCAGCTGGCATAACATTTTTTGTTTTGTCCGTGGCTAGACCTTCAGAATGCAGCAGTATAACTGTCTATGATTATCCACTATTCCTGTGTCCCTCAATAGACTGCAAGAAAAAGATTTTATGGTAAGTACAAAAACCTTATTTTGACAGAAGGCAAAAAAGACTGAGCCCACTACCTTGTTGCCAAAATGTAAATAATCACCTATTGCAAGTTTATTTCTTTGTTAAAGGAGAATTATGAGGCGAGTGAAAATCACTCAGCCTCATAGTTCTAGCTGACCTGTGACAATGAAACTGTCACAGGTCGGCTAAATAGATCGGGAAGTGAGCGAACACATACCGTCGCTCGCTCACTTCTCGATCTATCCCTGCAGAGAGCCGTGACTGTCACTCAAAGCTCCCTGCAGGGATTCCCCCCTCCCATGTCCGATCCTCCAGCGCTGACTGGAGGAATGGACGGGTTAGGGGGCGGGTACAGCTGGCTCTGCCTCTAGCTAGGCAGAGCCAGCTGTCAATCCTGCAGCTGGGTGGATCTCGACAGTAATGTCGGGATCCGTCCCGGCTGCGGCGTCTCAGTATACTGAGCTTACGGTGACGGGAGAACGCTAGTTTGTGTCCACCCGTTACCCTTAGGAGAACTATGGGGAAAAGCCCTGACCCCATAGTTCTCCTTTAAGCCCTTCATGCACTGTTATAGCATGCTGATTAAGCTAAACTATCAATAATTGTTGATATTTAACTCCTGTGTTTCAATAAATATTAGCACAGAGGTGAGTAATACTTTTTTCCAGGGACAGGAATAGCCTTGGTATTTAGGCTCTACAATACAGTACATGTAAGTATTCTGCTGCTGATCACCTCTTATGAAGAAGCTGATCAGAGCTTCACAGCTTTGCTACTTGGAAACTATATTTATTCGATGGTTTAATTGTGTTTAACCCATTACTGCAAATTAACATGACATTGACATTTTGATTATTTAATGTATATATTGCCCTCCATAGCTCCTAGAGACCATTAACTTTGCCCATAATGGAAAAAGTTTGGACAATGCCATGGCACATTTTATAGTACAGTTTTCCCTAATATGGCTTAAAATCTTTTTTTCCCAGGGGACGGTCAGGTGGACTTTGAGGAGTTCGTAACGTTATTGGGACCAAAGATCACAACTTCTGGTATCCCAGACAAATTCCGTGGTGCTGATTTTGACACTGTGTTTTGGAAGGTAATGTGCATGCATGTTCATATCCGAACGCGATGGAAAGTCAGTCCTCTCACCCCCTATTGCATTTGTGTGCACACCTATGTCTTGTTACATATGTCACAGTACATAGCTGGGCCTGAAAACAGGTTCTGGCCATCTATATATATATATACACCTATATACTTAAATGTCTGGACATATATATATATATATATATACACATATATATACGTACAGTATGTGTATTTTATGTATATATTGTGAGGTACTGGCTGGCAGGATTGTGGATGGTGTATATGTGTCACCTTGGTTTCTCACTTAAATGGGGCTCCAGGGTTTGTGTCTGCTATGGAAGAAACAAACTTTGTTGTTTTCTCTGATCTTATTAAGTTCTGGTCTGGGTTGTGGAGCCTGAAGACTTTGATGAGCTTTAGGTAGGATAAAATCTAGAAGATATGTTGTCCGCACACCTTTCTGCTTCGTAATGTCATCTTTATTCATATTCCTTTAGCATGACATGTGAATGCAACGTTTCAGAGGCTCGCAGGACGACACTTGTCAGCACTTTGCTTGACGAAGGGGTCCTGTGAAGCTCCGAAAAGGTTGCATTCACATGTCATGCTAAAGGAATACGAATAAAGATGACATTCCGAAGCAGAATGGTGTGCGGACAACATATCTTCTACATTGTATGCTGTGGCACCATCCACCAGTTGTTCCAGCATCTGTTGGATTCTAGGGTACATTGGTGTGCAAAGCGGATATTACAAAGACATATGTTGGGTAGGATAAAGCCTCCATTGCTAGGTCCACATTTTACCTGTCAACCAGACCTCACTAATTAGTCAGCTGTCAACAAGTCTTTTCATATCTGAGCTCACCTATACTAGAGGCTCTCTCTCTCACTCTATCTGCTGTTAGACCCCGTTGCTGGATGAAAAGGCTGACTGCTGACAGAATGCTAAAAAGTTGCAAGATTTTTTGTTTGTTTGTTTTGGGGAACCCATTAGTGGGTACCCTGTTAGTCAGGAACTGACATAAATTTAGTTAGTGGCTGAGACAAGCAATTTTTTGTTTGTTTTATGCTATGTAATTGCTGTGCAAAGGCCTCCTGCACTCTTCTGTTTTTGTTTAGTTCCTTGCTGAATAAAAGTGCAGGACAAACCTGCTCATACTGTTCCTTGGTGTCCCTGTCTCATGCATGCTTTACCACTACTAGCTGAGCCTGACCCCTTACAAAATATATATGGACCCTCTGCTAGCTTTCGGCTTCTCATGATGTGTTTGTAGCATGCCCTTGTTAGATATTTATCAGTCTGATGTCCTCTGAGCAGTGAACTCCATATACCTGGTGTGTCCCTGCAGTGTGACATGCAGTCACTGTCTGTGGAGGAACTGAAGAGGTTACTTTATGACACGTTCTGCGAGCATCTGTCCATGCGTGACATTGAGAACATCATTTTGACTGAAGAGGCTGGGAACCTAGGTACAAGAGGGGACTGTCCTGTCGATATGGAGAGTAAGTGTGATCTCTTTGTTGCCGTATATGTGAATTATTCTGTTGATCAGTGAATGCATTTTAACAACCACAGTTGACATACATATCAGCACGTATAGACTTTTACAAACACCGATTCTGATCTTTACTTGCCTTAAAGGAGAGATGATACATTTTAAAACCTTACCTATATTTAGTAGCATCCCATTATGATCCACTGACAAAGGTGTATCTGTTCCTTCACTTATTCTGGTAGGTGAATGGATATCCTGTTGAATCACATACTGCCTTTTTTTAACAAGGAGTTCTTTTTCTTAAGTGCTATTTTTCAAGTGCAGTAACCCATAACAATCAATCACAATTCATGGTTTACTAGTTTGACTTCACCATAGTGAGCGGGAATTACATTTCTGAGAATATTCTGTTTGTGTGTCTCAAGTGTTGCCATAATAGTCATGAGGAAGCAACATTTTAGGTTTATGGCATTTTTTGAAAATCAGACGTTGGCCAATTAAATAAGAAAGTCATTTTTAATAGAAATAAATTAGCAATTAATTTCTGCCCATGTCAGAATTGAGCCGTGCCATCTCTGTTATTTCATAGTTGAATGAGGGGAGGGACTTAGTACCAAGAAGTGTGGGGCTTAACTTCAATTTGGGCAGAAGTCAAGGCCCCTGACCTTTTACACCAGGTCAGGTCCAAGGAGAGCCAGTCAGGTCTCCAAATAAACAAACGGCTATAGAAGAGGTATATAATACTCATTGTGGTGTCTCGCAAACCTTTCCCAAATATGTATTGGCCTTATTCAATATAGTCTTTACTCTTGAAGAGACCCTGTTAGATTTTAATAGAAATCAAACCAACATTTCCCTGGGGTTGGTTAGAAGGGGTTGTATACTGACCTCTACAGCTGTCTGTGTGTCCTACCTCCCCTCTGTTCCAGCACGGCAGCCTCTGTCAGTCTGTTTTGCATTTAACACTTCCTGGAGTGTCAGATGTCTTCCTCCCAACCCTTACTACGCCAGGGCATATGGTGAGGGACACAGGCATCTGACACTACCAAAAGTGTTGAATTTAAAACAGAGAGACAGAGGCTGCTGTGCTGAAACAGAGGGGAGGTAGGACAAGTAGACTTCCAGAGAGATGAGTTCTAATGCAGAGAAGTACCATTTTTTTTTTTTTAATAGAGATCGAGCAGGGTCTCTTAAAGAATAACTGTTCTTTATTGAATAAGGGACAATACATATTTGGAAAAGGTTTGTACAGTATGTTGTCTTATTTAACTAAAGCTGACATGTTATATTGGAAGGTTCTTTTCTAATTATTAAGGTCCCTTGCCACAATTGTGCTCTCTAACATATCTAAATACATTTATCTGACAGTTATACACACTATTTGCAAAATTAATTGAGAGACATTATTTCACCTGACAGACTCTTTGCAGATCATTGAGAGATGTTAAGGAGGAATGGAGTATTTTGTATCATATGGAGTGGGTCATGTCGGAGGATCTGCATAAAGATTTTGATCCAGTGCATATTCTGTGTTAATATATGGGCTGATGTGCTTTTATGCTACGTGGTACTAGCGATCACTGTCTCACTATGTCTGATACAAGTTACATTTCCTTCTATTATTTACACATTTATGCATACTTTAGCACTTGAACTTATTCATAATTCACTAAAGTAGGACTTCAGCGCAAACATTTTTTTCTATTAAGTGTAAAAAAATTTAAACCCAGCTCCAGTCAAAACTTTGCTTTAACTTTTTTTGATAGGACAGTTGAGAATCAGAACTTTTGTCAGTATTTTATTGCTGTCTGTGTCCTTATTGGGAAGACTTCCCTTCATTTCTGACCATGACACCAGGACAAGAAATGAAAACGTGCAAGTGTCATTGGGCCAAGAGGACACATGAATCAATTAAAACCTGACAGGTGTGCTAATCGCTTGCTAATCTACATAATTAATGGCCTTTCTGCCCTAGTGACACCCTGACAAAGATAGCAATTAAAACCTGGCAGAGGTTCTACCTCTTACCCACTCTGTACAAAACAATATACGTTTTGGCTGGAGTTGTGCTAATTGTACACATTAAAATCTGCTGGTACAATCTCTATGCAATCGCATTTAGATTTGCCAAAAATTATGTAGTACAAGGGTCTACCTAAATAATCCCTTAATTTTATATCCTATTAGGTAGGCCTTCACACTACATAGTTGTTGAAAAATCTAAAGGCACTGGCAACATTTGCAGGCACTGGCACACGCTGTACAGCACTGTATCACAGGCTGTCCAGCGTGAATTTTGTTAAGCACCCACTCTGAACACCAGTATAACTCTTTTTGTTAACCTGTATAGTTCAGTGAGTTCTTCATGCAGTGGTGGTTGAGATCGACTCGGCCTACAGCGAGCAGATTTAACTCCAACCGGTATGGGTGCAATCCCTTTAAGATATATTCAAAATCAAAATATGTTAGCAATATAAATACACAGAGAGGTGAATTTACCAAAACTGGGGCAGACAAAATCTTGAGCAGTTGCGCAGGGCAACCAATCAGCTTCTCTGTTCAGTTTGTTCAGTTGAGATATGAAAATGAAAAAGATATGCTGATTGGTTGCCGGGCACAGCTGCTCCAGATTTTGTCTGCGCCAGTTTTGATAAATTCCCCTCTATGTGTTTTTGAGTTATGGTAGATGTTTTGTGAATTAGCACATGAGAAAGGCCCCTTTCACATATGGGCACCTGTCAGTTCAAATCAGCAGGGGATCCATACACAGAGCAGTTCGGAGCAGATGTCACCATCGTGACATCCGTGTACATGTAGTATTTTCCTCCATGTTGCGATGAAGGAAAAAACTGAACTTACCAGACCCATGTTAGATCTATGGGGAGTTGGATGTAAGCAGACATGTGCCCATTTACATCAGATTACCCCCGATCTGCCACAATCGGAATGTACATCTGAAAAGGGCCTAAATTAAATATACTGTTTATACCCTACAACAGACTCCAATCATTTTTCCTTGTTAGGACGATTATTCCTGGAGCCCTGTTTAATTTTGATACATCTTTGTTTCAGGTTCCCCCAATCAACAAATCCGCCAGACCTGTGTGCGTAAGAGTCTAATCTGCGCCTTTGCCATCGCTTTCATCATCAGTGTGATGCTAATAGCAGCAAATCAGGTCTTGCGCAGTGGCATGAAGTAATGACATGGGGATAAGAAGCCATGAACTTATACAAACTTTCAGGAGCTCCTCCTGCCTCTTCCCCAATCCTAAAAGGACTGCAAGATACAGAGGGGGAGCCCCCAAAACCTTGAAGACTATGGGTCTCCTCCTCTGGTGTCTGAATGTGCATGGGAGGATTTGCATGGAAAATGCATGGGCATTTAAATCGTCAGGTGACCATCTGTGCTTTCAAAATCTGTGACACGAAAGGACTTTAACTCTCTCCCTCTATATATAATAGGTGTATATATGTATACGGATGTACAACTCTATATTTATGAGCAATAACACTTTTGGTCGATAAAGGGTTAACTCTGGTCATTGGGCACAGGGTCATTAAGGTTAGTGAGCTCCTGTGGTGTGAACTTTTCTACACTGTGTGAAGAGAGGGAGCTCAAAGGTTAAACTGTCTTCCCATCCCGCGATATTCATTCGCCTTAACCCGTAAAATGCTGAATGGGTTAATGTTAAATGTAGCTCTCCCTGTTTTTCTTCCATCTGTCTCTATATTGAAACACATGCTTCAAGTATAATTGGCCCGTACCTTCTTTGGACATTATTACTTATAATATGGAGAATTGTTGTATAGTCACCCACTTTCTGGAAAAGGTGGCCTGCTTCCCATAAAACACAATAAGATCTAGTTTTTGAGGAAAGAGAATTGATTATGTCATTTTCTGAAATCAGGAATGTCTCTCATTAAAATAATGTGTGTATGTATGTATACGGAATAGTCACCCAATTTCCATTTTGTTGCCTTTGTTTATTTTTATTGACTTGTTCATTGTTTTCTTAAATATGTGTCATTTTTAGCATGTTTTTTCTTATCTTAAAGTTTAGTTCCAACTTTCTGGCAAATTTGAGATTGTATGGCAGAGGAGCAAAACCTATTAACTTTGTAAATGGCTTTTATCATTTCTCTTCCTTTATGTTTTTATAGGTTGTTGAAGTATTGATTATACCCACTGAGAAATGTTCACATTGGGCATACTGTAGACAGTTATTGACAGGTGTAGACGGCTGTGTACCCCTGGCAACCAGTAAAATCTGAACATGTCTCATTGGACACAGCAGATATTTCAGAAGCCTGTGGAGGAATATTAGAACAAGATGTACTAGGTGCTATTTGCAGAGATTTTTTAATTTACTGTCCTAGAAATTGTTCAGAAGTGTGGAGGTAAGCTTTAGGTTTCTGAATTTCTTCCTCAAATCACCTCAATATCATTCTTCATGCATATTGCACCTCCAGTATTATATAATGGTCTCTTCTGACCCTGTACAGATAGGTATCAAATTGGGGTACTTGGAGGGCCCTAAATATGTCTATCAAACAGGGTTTCCACCTGACCGGTAAAATGGAGTTTGTTGCCAATCTTCTCAATAGAAAAGCACTTTAAACTTGAGCAGAACAAGTGCAATGACTTGTTCTAAATTATAAAAATGGCACTTTGGGGGTCAAAATTGAATCACCTCAATATCATTCTTCATGCATATTGCACCTCCAGTATTATATAATGGTCTCTTCTGACCCTGTACAGATAGGTATCAAATTGGGGTACTTGGAGGGCCCTACATATGTCTATCAAACAGGGTTTCCACCTGACCGGTACAATGGAGTTTGTTGCCAATATTCTCAATAGAAAAGCACTTTAAAACTTGAGCAGAAAAATTGCAATGGCTTGTTCTAAATGATAAAAATGGCACTTTGGGGTCAAAATTGTGCAAGTAGAAAATCTATTGGACAGTGCATTATGACTGTATATGGGCCCAGGCAATGAAGAACTGTACACTCCACTCTATTTTTGAATGGCCTTTACTTTTAGCTTGCTTTTTGGTAATGCATGATACCTTTTGTTCACAACATTCTTTTGATTGCAGTTTCGTTGTGATTTGTTTAAGTTTTCCATTATTTTGTTTTATTTTATGCAACTGTGGCCTGTTCCAGAACATATTATCAATTTCCAGACATGCCTGTGGATCCACTATGGGGCCTCTGGGCAATGCAGGGTTATTGTAGGACTCTATGACTTAATCGCCTTGCTCCTTACTTCTCTGGTTAGGAAGACTGGACAGTACAGAGTGTGTTGATGTTGCTGCCTGTGACTAATATATGTATCTGCATGGATGATAGACAGGCAGTGTTAACTGTACTCTGTCTTGTCATTTATGTCTGATCAGATGACCAGACTTATGGAGATATTGCTACTATTCTATGCTTTATACGTTTCTTTCCTTTCATTGTTTTTTAGGACCCTTTTGCCATTACTCCTTGTCTTACAGTATGCGTCTTCTATTTCACTTGCCTTCATAACCTCTCTAACTATGCATGCACCATCATCTTTTTGCTCTTCCAATATTCCTGTCTGCAGGAATTCACTTCACGCCGATGGAGTGTCTTCAGTTCTCTATCGGATCCATTTCCCTGCTCTTACCACCTTTGTTTTTTGGCTATACTTTCTCTGTAACACCCTGTATTATCAGACTCCCCCTAACTCATGTAATTTGTATACCAGTTATTCTATGTTCCCTTCTCATATACCATTTTGTGGATATTATGATTTCTAATAAATCTAACCATTTGCCAGAATTACTTTTCTAACTGTGTAGTGAAAGAGAATGGAGGGAATGCTTGGAATGCTTGGGAATGAATACACATACTGCAGAACGATATTGCACTGCAGGAGATGACAGCTTGACAAGCAGTTGGTTATGTGAAAGAATTGCAGTTTATTGTTCCTTTTCTTGTGCAAGGCACTTCAGTAGTTATGTCTCACTTCAGGGGTTATATAGCTTATATTTTATTGCATGTTATGTGACACTGCAGATTGCCCAGCCTCTCCAGCAGCTATGAGCCATTCTGATTCCCCGCACATAAGACTAATCTGCTCCCTTCACGCTCTCTTCCTGGCGGAAGTTATTGTATCATCACAATGAGAGACGGGATAATGAGCTCTCGGAGTGACAGCCTGCAATAATCAGCTAATGTTGCATTCATCCCACAGCCCAGGCTCACCTCTGCTCTCACCACCTGTCTTTTTCATTACCACACCTCCTGTCCTCTTCGTTCTTGCTCCCCCATTTGTCCTTCTCACTCCCTTTTTTTCTTAAATATTTCCATAGCAAAGTCACAGGATGATGCAAATCTAATTTTCATGTCTGTCATAGGAGACATCACAAAGAGAGAGCTCATATTAAACAGCAACACCTACTATACATATTTCAAACACCTTTTCTTCTCTTGTAGTTTTTGATCCACTCTATCGTTTTTGGTTCAGTAGTCTGACCATCTTTATTTTTGTTACCAGTCCTTATTTGCGCTTCACATTCACTCTGCTGCAGCACAAATTTTACAGGTCATTTGTATTATTATGGCGCCAGAATAGCCATTGCTATTGATTTGTATATTGTACCAAAGGAATGTCTAGGGCTATACTAAAAGAGATGTCAAAACAATGCTAACATTAGGTACTAGTTTAACGTGTCTCTGGTACATGTAGCACATTATTCACAAAACAAAGTTGAGTGTCGAAAACAAAGTCCCAATGAACTGGAAATCCTGTTTCATGAGTCTTCTGATGGGCTGCTTTGGATAACTGCACTTCTCTTTGCACTATTGTATTAAAAGTGACATAAAAACAGGGAATTAGGGAACTGACTTGTTGCCCAGAGTAACCTCTCAGGTGATAGAGGGGGTTTCCAGTTTACCTGTTGATTTATTGATTCACTTCCCAAAACTATAGATCATTCACATATAAAAGTTCCACATTCTGCAGAATGCAACCTCTCCTGCTACCCTCCCGGCATTTGATCACACCTGCAGTGCTTACATTCTTTTTGTATGTATAGGTGGACAGCTCAACCAAATCAGCATCTCACCCCTGTCTCACTCAGGAGCAAAATTCAGTCTGGTTTTTCTGGTAAGTGACTTGTGTTGCTCTGAAGCTCTCATATGAGCGCTAAAGAGCACATAGCAATACAAATGGGTCCCTTGTGTGTAATTTATGTTGTTGCTCCTTATAGCTTAATTTGCTTAATAGCTTATACATGACACGTGGCACTTGTTGTATTGTTATAAAATAGAATGGTAGAAGCTAGGAATTACCATTTGCCCAGCTAGAATAATGTCAGCTGCATTGCCATGTATGATTAAAGGCTACCATAGAAATTAGAGGGATTTCTAGTGTAAAGGCATGATCTGACCTCTCGGACCTCTAAGAAGTTTAGCTGTTCCTCAAAACGACACTAAATTCAAGATTTAAACCTTAAAAATGCATTGAGGTACCTTAACCATTAACAATACTGTGCCTTATTTATGTTCCACTCGGCTGTAGATCCTCAAATCATCTCTGAATTGGTGCTGACACTGTCCTTCCTTGTGGAAGGTGACTACTTTTGTTCCCCATGGTCCCTGTTTGTGTGTGTGTGTGTGTGTGTGCGTGTTGTAAAAAAGCAACCGCTCCAACCTCGCTTCTGTGATGGACTACAATTTAATATTTAGTAATATTAGTAATATTTAAAGGAGAACTATGGGATTAAGTATTTTCCCCATAGTTCTCCTTAGGGTAACGGGAGGACACAAACTAGCGCCCTCCCGTCACCCTAGGCTCGCGGTATACTGAGACGCCGCAGCTGAAGCAGATCCCGACAATTGTGCCAGGATCCGCCCAGCTGCGTGAGTGACAGCTGACTCTGCCTATCTAAAGGCAGAGCCAGATGTACCCGCCCCCTCCCCCGTCCGTTCCGCCAGTCAGCGCTGGCGTATCGGAGCGGGGGGAATCCAGCCCCTCCCCTGTCACGGCAGAGAGCCGTGACAGGATCGAGAGGTGAGCGATTGCCGGTATGTGTGCGCTCACCTCATCTCTGTCTCATTGTCACAGGTCGGCTAGAACTATGAGGTGAGTGAAAATCACTCACCTCATAGTTCTCCTTTAATATTTAGTTTATTGATTTGTACTGAGATTGTAGTCTATCAGGGGAGCGAGCTTGGAGCGGTGGCTACTTTACAACACACACAAGGACCAGTAGCCACCCTCCAGAAGGAAGGACAGTGTCAGCACCAATTTAGAGTTAATTTGAGGATCTATAGCTGCGTGATACACAAATAAGATACATTTTTGTTAATAGTGTTTAGGCTTACAGAGTGAGTCAGAGAAGATGCGCTATAGACACTTTAATTGCTGGCTGAGCAGATCGTAAACACTACTTATTGGAGAAGGTTATCCAAACAGTCTGACTTCTTCCCTGACAAGCCTCATCTGCCATAATCTCCAGGTACAAAAATGGCCAGAATGGAAGGTTTCCATCTATTATATATGGACATCTTAGCACGGTGGGCCATTTTCCCCCAGCTTTTGTAAATCAGTGCTAGGGTAATACCATGATTAACTTCCAAGAAGCTTGAGTACAGTGATTATGTCCTGGATATCTTTAGTAAGCCATTTGTTTTCTTCAATGTAACCAAGAAATTAAAGTTGTTTAATGGTAGGGGTAAGTAATTGCACTGTACATAATAAATGTATAGATACTTATGATTTCTCTTATCATGTTTAATGACAATATTCTATTCCAACAATGGGTGGCCTACACCTCCTTGCTTGAATTGCATGACACTTGGACACAACACAATTTTTCCCAGGCTTGGTGATTTACCTATGCAATAGAAAATGTAGCACTCTCTGAGCGATGGGGAAATGTTTCACTGTGTTGTAAAATATCTGTGTATGACAAAGGAACACAGAAATACAG